AAAAGAAAAACCTGCCACAAAAAACCCAAAAAAAAAAAAAAAAAAAAAAAAAAAAATCAACACTGGGCAGCGTGCAGGAACACTGAAGCAGAAGAGATCTGCACCAAGGACAGCCTGGGCAACAGAGTAACAGCTCATGTCTCACTAAAAGCTTCTCAGATCACTGTGTGTGTGCACCCACATGGAGCCCGTAAGATAGCCTTGGCTGTCATACCTCAGGAACTGTCCACTTGGTTTTTTTGAGACAGGGTCTCTCACTAGGACCTGGGGTTCTCTGACCAGGTTAGGCTGGCTGGCCAACAAGCACCAGAAAACCAACTTTCTCTCGAGCCTCTGTGCTGGAATTATGAGCGCACCTGGCATTTTATACGGATGTTGAAGACCAAACTCAGTTCCTCATGCTTGTGTGCGATCATTTTACTGACTGAGCTAGCTCCCTTGCTTGAAAAGTTGCAAAGTCATTTGTTCACATGTGCACGAGAATGCCCTGGTGAAACTCAAACCACGTTGTTCTTTTTTTTTGGGGGGGGGCAGGGGAGAGGGCTAGATACTGGGAGGTGGAAGCTAGGCAGCACACCTGCCAATTGCAGGTTTAATTATAAAGACAGGGATCTTATTGCCATAGTGAATTTGGTGAAAGTGCCAAGCAAGATCTACATCTTCTACAGAAGACTGGCATGTTTGGACTTTTTTGAAGCTGTTTTCTTTCTTAACTAGAGTAAGATGGAATACATAAAATGACACTCCAACATGCTGGGGGAGTCAAACAAAGATGCTATGAAGTCTGTATAGTACCATTGTGTCACCCACTGCCTGCTTATCAAGAGAAACTATACCACAGCCAAGATATATCATAATTATGCTATAATTAATTTAATAGCAAATATAAGTAGAAATTCAAGAAAGCCTTGGTAAAGTCCTTGGGATTTTCTGTAACTCATGTTGTAATGCATATTCAAAGAGATTCTGGCATTCAAAATATCTTGGTCTTCCAGGAAATAACAGAAAGAGAGGCTGTTCAAATTTGGAAGTGTCAGTCATCCAAAGAAAAAGGCAGAGAAAGCTTGAATTATGAATGTATCTTTATATATATATATACATACGCACATATAAATATATGTGCGTATGTATATATGCAGACTGCATGGATGCCAGGTAAAGGTGAATTGCAAAAGAGGTACTAAACAGGCAAAAGAAAAGACTAACAACCAAAATTAGTTTCAGCTTTTATTATGAATGTCCAAAGTGACAGCATACTGCGGAAGGTGTTAGGTTCTCATTGAGTACGTTTCAAGGGACCACAGACTGAAGCATTCAAGCACTTTAATTTTTTGACAGAGCCAAAAACAAAAGAATGATTAAAAAATATTCTTTTGGGTATAAAGGGAGCTCAGGTTTGAGTTTTTGCATCACCCCCACCCCCTTGCAGGGACTGTGAACACTGATCATTTCCAAAACACAAATCCGGTCTGGACATTTGCAGTAAACTTTCACCATCTCTGCCTGAATAAGACAGATGCTCCTAAGAAATTACATATGGGTATGTTACAATACAGCGCGGCGGGCTCATCGTCACCACTCCCCTTCCTCTCCCACAAGGCTGCTCGTCTCCCACCTGGGCTGTTGCATATCTGGACAGGAAGGACTGGAGTCAAGTATTCAGAAAACTATGCTGAACCCTGGGTTTTCACAAAGCTGTATTAAAAAGGATTTTTTTTTAAAAAAAAAATGAAAGCTTCCACCTTTCAATGTTTGAGAGTGTCCAAGGAGGTAACTAATGACAACGGACTGAAGCCACAGTCAGGCTTTTACATGGCTTTACAGTAGTGGACATCTACTGTGTTCAAGGAAAAAACAAAAAACAGAAAAAACCGCTGGTGTAGTAACACTATGGTTCCGGCCATCTGTAGTTCTGGCACAGCACGACTTTCCCCCAGGAGGGTTTCCTTGCCCTCTGTCCTTCCCATCATGCACTGGATGATGCTACAGATGGAGTTTCTTGCCACTGATTTCCCCATCAGTTCTGGGCAGTGGGGTGCATATCTCTTACAGATGTAATACTGCTCGTCTGAGTGGATCCTCAAAAAGAACAACTATGAACTAGAAACTCATAGAGTTTGTGTTTAAAATTTATAAAATTAAACCTGCTCCGACAGGTAATACAGGGAGGCATGCTTGCAACCTCTGGATTCAATCAGAAACAACGGCTAGAGCACAGAGCCTTCTCAACGGGCCTCGGCAGGGCTCCTTTAACGCTTCCTTAAACAAGATCCGGTGTGATGCCCATTAGAACTTTGAAGCACGTCTGTCTCATTTATTTCTACAAGGCCTGGGACACGGGAAGCTGCCAGGATTTCATTCATCATCTTGCCTGTTGACAAAAGGAACAATAACTGGTCATCACTCGTCAATGGAATAACTTTCCTAGTTTTTTTTTTCCCCCAAGATAATTGCTAAAGAGGCGGTGTCAATACAACAGCAAACGTTTCCATGTTTGATGACTTCCTTTGCTCAGAACTAACGTGTTCTTCCAGCAGAACAGGAAAACCCAGAATATGCCTGGGTGGTCAGGAGACAGTCCTGCCCCAAAGCCAGCGGATCCAGGCTCTAGATATGCCTTCACGAATGACTAATGTAGCCCCTAACATTAGGGTGCCCTGATTCCTTTATATATAGACTGAAAAGACATGGACTGACCAACGATGTCTAAGAAGGCTATCCAGGGCTGACTTTTAATGGGTCCATGCACCTCTGCCTTCCCAGATCCTTACAGAGCACAACCAGATCTGAGCATCCCAATCTGGGGCAACGGGTACTTACAAAACCCATACCTGGGTGCCTCAGGTCCTAGCCTGTGTTCTGTGCTGAGAACTGGCTTGACTTTCAGAGAAACCTCAAAATACCTATTAGCATCTGAAGTCAATTAAAACATCATAAACAACAGTATGATTAAGCTATATGGGTGAAAACTCTGGAAATATCCTTCTGTTTTCATATCTGTTGCTAAGACCTTGTCTCAAAAAAAAAATTAAATTAAAAGTAAATAAAATGCAAGGACCAATAGTAGAGGTGTGAAGATGACAGACTAACAGCTTTTATGGAATAGTGCTTGCTTTTTAAAGCCAGCTTACTTTTATGAGCTTGCTGGCTTTTACAACAGGGAACCCGACTTTCTCTAGAAGGGCAGCCAAGGAAGGGGGGCTCGAGCAACTGGCTCAGCCTTAGACAAAGTAAGCCCTACGCTGAGATAGTAACCAGGCCTTCTGCTTCCCGGGTGACATGTACATTACTTATTATCCATTTCTTTTGCATAACTCTGTGACTACTGATGGTTCTGATAGATTAAGTGCTTTACAAAGAATATTCAGAAAGACAGAACTGTCTCCACAAACAGACAGGCACTGAGATATACCTTGCCTAGAATCACTACACAGAGAAAGGCAGACTTCGAGGTCCAAGCTGTGTAGGCCCCTTTGTCTTCTACAGTAGGTACTGTAAGTATGAAGGACCACCTTGCAGGAACTCCTATATCTGCCTCAGAACTGCACCTTAGATATCAAACCCAACATAAGCTGCTGCACCTGAAGCCAGGTCAAAAGGAGAAATGCAGCTGACTGTGATGATGCACGTCTATGATCCCAGCACTCAGGGTGGTGATGCACGTCTGTGATCCCAGCACTCAGTGTGGTGATGCACGTCTATGATCCCGGCACTCAGTGTGGTGATGCACGTCTATGATCCCAGCACTCAGTGTGGTGATGCACGTCTATGATCCCGGCACTCAGTATGATGATGCACGTCTATGATCCCAGCACTCAGGAGGCTGAGGCAGGAGGACTGAGAGTTTGAGGTGAGTCTGGGCAACATGTGAGACCCTCTCTCAAACAAAGAAGCCCAAAAAGCCCAAACCACCCAAACCAGGAAACCTGGCTACTACAGAAGGCCACACATGCAGGGATTGCAAGGCAAAGGTAGGTGTCTTCCAAACTCTATCTAAACAGTTTGGCTCATGATGAGGTTCTGTGAAAAAGTGTTTTCCCACATGGTCTACTCTTCATGTCACCAGCGTGGCTCATGACCTGCTAAGATGTCACCTATAATTTCACAGTAAACAAAGTACAGGAGGCCAGAATACGGCAACATGGCACAAAGGACATGGTAATAAATTACATTTCTGTTTCTCCATGCTATTGGCCTCAAGTCATGTCCCTGACGTGGGACATAAGCACATCTGAGGAGGACAGTGTTTGGAGGTAGAAGCAATGCCTGGAGGAGCCAACGTTTTAGAACCAGTTTCCCAAGTCTGAGCCGCCATCGATAAGGTATGTGCCTTCTGTGTCTTCCATTTGGAGAAGCACAGCTTCAGTTGCTCTTGTATAAAGGCTGATGGGAAGAAAGTTAATCCACACCCAGATGCAGCTCTCTGGGGAACTCCTGCCGGGTAACCTACAGTGTCTGCCCAAGCAGCCCTGAAGGTAGATGCATTCACAAATCCCTTATGGCAAAGGATAAAATAGGTTCTCCAAGATTACATAACCGGAAGACACACCTAGACAGTGTGAGGGTCTGGATCTCAGGCTGTGTGCCTCACCCCAATCCCACACCTTTCCTTCCAAAGGCCACGCCCCTGCATGCTTTGGCCTGCAGATGTTTAACAGTCACACCATGCTGTTTATCTCGATGAGGGCCCCAAGGAGGTCAGGAGCTTCCATACCAGCTACAGCCTCTCTTACCACACACATCCATCTGCAGAGGCAGTGGCCAGGTTCCCAGGTCCATGACACAGGGCAGAGAGAGATAAAGAACCTGGCAAAGGGAGTGTCCCACCTCAGGGACATGACTCAGGGCCAGTCGCATGGAGAAACAGAACTGTAGTTGATCCCAGTTACTATGGAAAGGCTCCTGTAGTCTGGTTCATTTTTAACTGTTAGACCTATCAGCAGACTGTGACTGCATATGGCCCAAGAACCATTTCTAAATTCCAGCTGTGAGAGGCAAGGCAGGGAGGTGAGTGTGGGGGATAAAGTCCACAGAGTGCCTCTGACCACTCTGTAAAGCCCCCACCCATACATCTCATCAGAGCTGCCAGGAGCCAGCAAAGGTATAGACAGGAAATTCATATCCGCCTTTTCCTCTGCTCTGTACGAAAGACAAAGGCATGTGCTTAAGAAGCCAGGGGGATAGAAAATTGGCATCAGTGTGATTTGCACCAACACTGATGATCGTCCCGGAGAATCAGCCACATAAGAAGGCGAAGCAGCATTACCAATCACACTTGGTAGGCCTGTTGCTTTCCCAAAGATGCTCAGGCCACACCCCAGCCAGCCTGCCCTGCCACATGAAGGAAATGGCTAGGACTACTCACAGATGCCAGGCTCCCATCTGCCCTGTCCACCTGATCTGTTTGGCCAGCTCCCATGGGCACAGAATGGCTGGCACAGAGCTCTAAGCAGCAGTGGGTGCAGATCCATTCTAACAAAATTTGCCCAATGTTTTATTGTTCTGTAGTTCAAAACCTACTTCATCCGATTAAAACAAGACAACATGAAATCAGGTCTTCCCAAATACCAAGTGTAAGGATAAGTAAAATGAAATAAAATAAAATAAAAGGCAATTATTGCCTAGCAAGGAAGTATATCCCCATGGTGAGAAATACCCACAGATCCTCTATGTAACTGAGTTCACATTGCCCACCTGATGTGCACACATGTATCATGTGTACAGTAATTAATCCCCAAAGTACATACTTTTTCTATTGCAAGAAAAGGATTCAAATCAGTCTATACCTCAGGAATCATTTACAACCCTCCGAAAACAAGCTGCCGAGTTTCTCCTGCCCGTGGACACACAAAGATTGAGAGGCTATGTGATGCTCGGGACCCGACTTTCTCCTGCCCACAGACACACAAAGATTGAGAGGCTATGTGATGCTCGGGACTCTTGGTCCCTCAGTATCTCTTATTCATATAAATAAAAGAAAAAAAAATCAGACATTACACTGTGAAAAGTTGAGCCATTTGGTACAAGTGATCTGACTATACCATAGGCTTCTTGGAGCAAAACAGACTGAAGTGTTTCCATGGATATGGTAATGTGTGCTGTTGGGAAAGAGCTGGGCTGGGACTCTGGGCTTGGCAGAGTCCCTCCAGCCAGCTCATCCACAGAGAGGTAGCTGAGACCCAGATGCCCCGGTGGGTATATCTGACTTCTCTTTAGCAGATGTATGGTCCTGGGGTGGGTTCCTCAGTGGCTGTGAATTTCCCCAGCTATGACCGCTGAGCGGCAGTGTGGGAAGCGCCCCTCCAGAGGGAGGGGAAGAGGACTGCTCTTCCTTCTGTCAGTCACATTCCCAGGCAGCCCTGGGGGCAAGAGGCCACAAGGAGACTCAAGGAGCAAGGCAGAGGTTTTGCCTTCTGCCCGGGATGTGCATCTCTCCTTTCCCTATCCTGGGAGAACTGGCTGAGTGGCCGACTCCCCTCCCCGAGTGGCCTTCCTGACAGGAGAATGCTGTAGAGTTTTCAGCTCCCAGGTCCCTGCACCATTCCAGGATCCCTTAGCACACCACCTTCCCTTGCCTGTTTTCCAGGAGCTCCTCTGTGACTGATGGAAATGAGGGAGAGGCCGTGGCCATGGCAAAAGTGACTATACTGACCACGTGCTGTCCCACCTTGGCCACTGCAGAGTCACCCTGTCCCCATCACCAAACCAAGCCTCCTCACTCCCCTCCTGCCTCCCAATGCTTTCTCCCTCTCTCAGGGTCATTCTCCTCTGAGGAAGGAATCACCACAAACAGCCTAGAAACAATGCATCTTTACTGACGGCCGAAGTCAACACTCATGCCTCTGATGAGGTAGAGGAAAAGAACCTAAGAATTTCTGTTAATCATTTTCAGAAAGCCAGAGCCCAGCTGAGCCACTGTTTGGGGTTACAAGTGACTTAACAATTTGCACTCTGACACTGTCAACTGTGGGGAGGAGGCCAGGACAGAACACAAGCAAGTCAGAGAAAGGAATGAACATGTTATCTGTGACTCTGTTCTGCCACTATGCAACAGACAACCCCTGCTCCCCTCAGCTTACAGGAGGGGACATTGGGCTGCAGGCACTGTAAGAACAAACCCCAGGCATGAACTCACTTTTGTTGGGTCCTGGGGCTAAATGGACATTCAGTGACAAATGCAGGACTCAGTGTTGGCGAGATAGCTTTAAATACTCATCCAGGAACGTAGCCAGTCCAGGAGCCAATGCTAAGTACTAATGCCAGGAAGTAATACTAAGTACTAATGCATTTTTACCTGGAGAAGCTTGAGACACCTCTTTTACAGCTTAAAGGTTAAAAGGCTAACCTTTGCTTCCTTCCTTCCCTTCTTTT